TTGTGTGGATTAACCAGTAGATTTGCCCCCGTGTGATAACGTCCTAAGATTCCTGAGGTATAGAGACAAAAAGGGTGGGAAATGGGAGAAGGCTAAGATGCTGAGATTTCTGAAGTTTAAAAATGGTAGAAAAACTGGAAAGGTCTTTCTGAGGCCATGATGGTAAGATTCCTTAATACGGTAAACAAAAGTGTGGAAGTGGGAAAGCAGAAGACCTCCTGGATCCCTTTTGGAGTAGTAGATATCAGTCTGGGCAATGCCAGGTACACCTCAGCTAGCACATGGGACCTTAGTATTTTAAGGTACATCTCCCATATGTACCTACCATGCTTTAGGAAGAGTAGCTAGCAGCCTTATTTGGTATACCATCAAAAGATGAAGGATGATTAATAATTATTTGACTTTTTCTCAGCCACAGTTCCTTCAGTTGTGGAGTGTCCTCCCAGTGGTTCTACTTAGTATTTACCTCACTATCTTGTCTATCAGGCCAAAATCTTTTTTTAATTTTCCCAGGCCTTCTATCCTTTTATAAGTTATGATTTATCACATAGGCTTGCAAAATGGAGATTCATAAAAACATTATTTTAAAAAATGCATGCTGGTTTTATAGAAATTTGGTGTTCTAAATCCAAAAATGACCCCAGAGGTCCATCATATAATTTCCCGCCATCCACAAGTGACATTTCTCCGTTGTAATATGTGACTGAATGAAATTATCCTACAAAGAGTAAGATAAGTTTAAAGTCTTCCAGCAGACTTTCAAAACAGTTTAATTTGCCGATATGAAACACAAAAATCAGTTCAAACACACTAAAATAAAAGCACTGGAACAAAGCTGAGCAACAACTGAATTGATAAAAATACTGAATTCGTTCATGAAAGAACTGTGCATGGCTTTATATTTTTATTGGGTTTTTTAAATCCAGCATCCCAAAATGAGTTTAAAATAGCTGTAATATTTAAAAAAAAAACCAATTGCAGACTCATGTCATTATTATAGCTGTGTAATACATAATGAAGAGGCAAAAGAAAAGTAGTTTTGGCAGTTTGAGGCCAGTGCTTTATTTCCCAGTGTGTCCACCCAGCTCCTAAAATTTACAGTTTTAACATTGCCCATTTTTTCCCTCCTATATGATTTTTAACACCTTTGCCTGACAAAGAAGCCATTGGAGCTTCAAAAGTTTGCAACAGTGTATCTACCCACCTCCTAAAAATTGCTTTTGTTGTTTCCTTAAAAAGGAAACAGAAAGGGACCCTGCCACTTCCCTCTGAGTTTCAGTAATCTGTGGGCTAGGAAAAAGAGAACAACTTCTTGCGTTTTGCTGTTTTCTTCGAATGGTTTCTTTTGTGCTCCATGTAGTACTGGTACCTGTTTTGTGTAGAGTCAGTTGCATCATTTCACTTATGTTTTGTGGAAGGTGTATGCATTTTACCTGTTTTGGGGTAGTGCACGGTTGCTTGTGGTTGTAAAATTTTGATATGTGACTGTTTGTGCACCTGTTTTGCCTCTGGGCTCATTCCCACTTACATTTACACCGCTTTGCAATTTGCTTTGGCACTGAGTTGGTGAATCGATTCCAGTCAAGGTGTAGTTCGCACCATGGAAGCGAATTATTTCCTTATTTCATGGATTCATGTCTTTTTTTGACACGATTGTCATTCCCACTAGATTTGTGCCGCTTCAAAATACATGTCAATCATCCACGCATCATCAGTGATGGATCCAAATGTCATACCGGTAACACATTCAAGAAAACATGTAGGATGACATGACCACATAAGAATTAAACTCACTCATAGGAGTGTAAATGTAAATGTCATGCTTCTTAGTCCTGCTCAATATGTAAATGTCATACTTCTAATCTTTATCCAAATGGAGGACCATTTGGGATCTCTCCTGAATGGGAGGCTGAAATGTAAGACCTGTCCTGGAAAAAGAGGAGGACATGCCTGGGAGGAAATTGGGCTTCTTGCCAGAGAAAAAGGCTGAGGCTGGTGCAATGGCTTGGCCCAGGAACCCCTCGCCCCTCCTCACCCCTTCTCCCCATGAGGGTTACCTTCCACTTTGGTGATGGTGAGGGCAACTTTATCAACTAGAGCCTTCCTCTGAATTATTTACTTCCCCTCAGCAACCCAGGCTGCTCCCAGAGGGCATCAAGCACACCATTTTCTCCTTGAGCAGCCTGGCTTGGGAACTATGGGGGGTTGCAGACTGCCAGAAATAGTGCAAATTGAGTCCACTTTTAGGGTTAGGGTTAGTGCTAGGGAATCATGGGAATTGGGTTTTTTTTTTCTGAGACATTGAGCCTTCTCTGTCAGAGAGCTCTGGTGCCACAATAAACTACAGTCCCTATGATTCCCTAACCCTAACCCAAATCCACAAAACAGTGATCATCCCAAATCCACAAAACAGTGATACCTTTATGGGGACAACCAAAATGCACATTATACATGTTGCAAAGTTTCAAAGCTCCACTGATTTCTTCATCAGGCAAAGGTGTTAAAAATCATACAGGAGAAAGAAAGGGAAAGAATTTTGATGATATCAGTCACAGCCCTGCATCTTGTCAAGATGTTATGGTTGTGTCCTCAGTTCAGATGGTATGGAAGAGTATTCATACAGGTGGTCTGCTCCTCCTTCTGGACACGTAGGTGCTGGGAGATTCAGTCCAGGAAACAATATTTAAATTCCATTTGCAAGACAAAAAGTTACCGCCTTTGAGAACTAATTTGTCTCTGTTTGAGACCTCCTGTATGATTTTTAAAAAACACCTTTGCCTGTTGAAAAAGCCATGAAGTTTTGAAAGCTTGCACAATCATATTCATATTTATTTTTTACCCACCTTTTCCCATGGATCATGTATTTTGTACATTTTGGTTGGTCAAAAAACAACAACAAAAAAATGGTACCACTGTTTTGTGGATTTGGGATCTTTGCTATATGACCAATGGCAGCCAGTGTGGTGTAATGATTTGAGCTTTGGACTAGGTCTCTGGAGACCAAGGTTCAATTCCCAACTTGGCCATGGAAACCCACTAGGTGACCTTGGGCAAGTCATAGGACGTTATCACACGGGGAACCCCAAACAGAAGCCGGCTTTAAAGAGAAAGTGCAACCGCAAAAGTGGAAGCAATTAATAATAATAATAATAATAATAATAATAATAATAATAATAATAATAATATTTATTTATATCCCGCCCCTCTGCAGAGCAATCGGGGCGGCTTAGCTGGCTTTCCCCATCTGATAACCTCCTGCGCATTTAAAAGGAGGTTACTC